GGTGGACCTGCGGCGCCGCAGCGGCTGGAGCGACGCCAAGCTCGCCGCCTACCTCATCTCGCTGGAGCGCGGTCAGCGGAACGGTCGGCACGGGTGAGGGGCCCCGGCCCGAAGGAGGGAGGGAGCGAGGGAGAAGACGCCCCCATCCCCCGCTGAGCCTGGTCCCGCCCCCTCCGCCCAGGCTCTGCCCCTGGCACCTCTGAGCTCCGCCCAGCGGCCCCTGTGCCGGCCGGGGTCTCCGACTACCGGTCCTGGGACGTGCCTGGCTCGCGGCCCGCCTCCCGTCGCTCTGACCGCCCAATCCTAGGATGCGTCCAGCCTCGACCCGCCTTCTGGGCACTTGGCCCCGCCCGCTAGCACTCTGGCTGACCAATCCTGGTACGGGCTCCACCTCCAAGCCTTGTAACTGCCCATTCCCTGGGGGCAGCCCCGCCTCCTGAGGCCCCAGTGGCCGGAGGTCCCTGCCCCTCTTATCTCACAGGCCTCGTTCCCTACTTTGTAGCCCAAGACTGCGCATCTGCAGACCCTGGGCTGCCCAGCCCTGCCTCTCGTGAGGTTCCTATGCCCCAGCTAGGACTCTGAGTGGCCCCATTCCCACAACCCTAGACCTCACCTACCCTGAAGACCCCTCACAATCCAGATCACATTCCCCTAAACCTCTTGGCTCCTGAGGAGCACCTCAGCCCAGTTGAAACTCAGGTGAAGAGGAAGCCTTGAGTTAGCCACAGAGGTGGAAGGCAGAGGCCTTTGCAGTCTCAGTTTTGAGAATGAGCAGTGTTGGTGGAATTTTTTACTTCCAGCCTTATAGATTGATGTGATGATTAAATGAGTTAAACTACAGCAGTGGGCTTAGAACAGTATTGGCACTTAGCACTCCAGGTATTAGCTGTTAGAGTGGTATTTGTTCTGTTTCACAAGCAGTTTTGCGACAAAATCCGTGTTCTGCCCAGGTTTTATTTGCACACCGTTTGCATGTTTCTCCCCGGGTAGGGGGAGAAATTCTGAGGGTCAAGAAGCAACCCTATCCTGTTGAAATTGTACCTGCTTCTCAGGGTGGCAGGCTGGTTTATATGCCTAAGAGCAGGACAGGAAATGCTGGGTGCTTTAAAACATCAAGGCAGTGTTCCACTACTGAGGTTTTTGATTCAATTAGTCTGGGTGGAGCTGCAGACCTTCTATTTTTTTTTATGTAAAGCTTCCAGGGAGACTTGATGTGCAGCTGGAGAACCACTGTCCAGAGGGAGCCCTTGAAGTTTCCTAAGTTGAAAGTGGTATTTGCAGAAGCTTAATTTGGCAGAGCAGGAGCTCTGTGGGCCTGCAGGACTGGGGCAGGGGCACTAAGACAACCCAGGCAAAAACTTGGCCCCAGGGCCCGTGGGTAGTTGGGAAAATTAACCTAGGTGAGGGATATCCTATAAGGAATAGACATGACCACAGGTAGGAGGTCAATTATTTCAATTGTTCAGTCATTTATAACATATCTTGTACCTGGAAGGATTTCAGTTCAAGGGCTGTAAAACATGAACAAGGAGTCAGAAATGAAAATCAGTGTGAAAAGAGAAGGGAAATGAGCGACGCAATGGGGCCAGGATCAGTGCTGATGGGTTGAGGTGTTAAGTCACAGGAGACATGAAAAGGGCAGTTTTGTGGCATGGTGAGGTAAAAACCTGACCAGGAGGGTTCAAGAGACATGAAGTAGGAATGGCGAATGGGCCATGAATTTGCCTTGGTGCTTTCTAGCAGCCAGTAGGAAAAGGGAAATAATGGTCAGTAGTGGAATTTCCAGTGTTTCTTCATTCTTTTGTTTAAGGAACATTTATTGAGCACCTAGTATGTGTCAGGCACCTGTATATATGCTGAAAGTACAGCAAACTAAACAAAGATAGCTGCCTCATGGAGCTGACATTTTATTTATTTACTTATTTATTTATTTTAAATATATATTAATTTCAGAGAGAGGAAGGGAGAAGGAGAGAGAGAAATAGGAACATCAATGATGAGAGAATCATTGATAGGCTTCCTCCTGCACGCCCCCCACTGGAGATCGAGCCCGTGGCATGGGTATGTGCCCTGACCAGGAATCGAACCGCAATCACTTGCATCATAGGTTGATGCTCAACTGCTGAGCCATGCCAGCCAGGCAGGAGCTGACATTTTAAAGGGCAGAGGGCAGAGGGCAGAGGGCAGAGGCTTGTTTAGTGTGCAAAGGCTTGTCTACTGCAGTCAAGAAACATAATTAATAAATTATGTAGTATGTGAAAGATTGATGGCAGTAGAAAAAACAAAAGTGAAATAAGGAAAGAGGAACCAGGAATGTGAGCTGGAGGTTTAAATAGGGTATCAGGGTGGGGCCACCTTGAGTACATTTGAGTAAATACCTGAAGAAGGCCAGGGCTAGCGATAGAGATATCCAGGGGAAGAGTGTTGGAGGAAGAAGGAATAGCAAGTGCAAAGGGTCCTGAGACAGGACCCTGTCTGGTGCCCTGATGTGTCCATGGGACAGTGAGGGGAATGTGTGGCTGGAGCACAGTGAGTGAGGGAGAGGAGTGGAAGAAGATGAGGGTAGGGAGGTGCCAGGGCCTTGTGGGCTGGCAAGGAGGACTCTTATTTTTCCTTCTAGTGAAGTGGGAGCTCTGGTGGGATATTTTGCCTTCCAGTACAGAATTTTGAGTTCCCTTCATAAATGCAGAGAAGTCATATATCTGGCTTAGATGTTAAAAGAAGCAGTTCCCAGGGCGGGGGGTGACAGCAGGAGGAATAGGTGGGGTATAAGTTGAAAGGTTGGCCAAGAATTGACAGTTATTAAAGCTGGTGATGGGTTGAAGAAGTTTCACTCTACTTTTCTCCCTAGCTTTGTATGTGTTTGCATTTTCCTTTTCACATCTTTTTTTTAAAATCTTCACCAAAAGACATTTTTCCCATTGCTTTTCAGAGAGTGGAAGGGAGAAAGAGAGAAAGAGACAAACATTGGTGTGAGAGAGACACATCAATTGGCTGCCTCCCATATGCACCCAACCAGAGCCAGGGATTGAGCCTGCAACCAAGGTACTTGCCCTTGGCCGCAGTCGAACCCAGGACCCTTCGGTCTGCAGGCTAATACTCTAACCACTGAGTCAAACCAGCTCGGGCTCCTTTGTCACATCTTAAACTCCTAACAAGAAAATCAAAAGAATCATCCTGACTCCTATGTTGAGGCTATGGAGGGGAGGGCAGGAGGAAGAAGATGACTATACTGACCCAGGTGAGCCATGATGGGGCTGGCCCTGGGCAGCATCACAGGGAAATGGAGAGAAGTGGTTGAACTTGGGGCCAGCAGGGTTCTCTGATAGGTGTGGATATGAAAGATGCCCAGGTTTGGGCCTGAGAACCTGAAAAGTTGCAGTTGCTGTTAACTGAGAAGGGCCATGTTGGGGGACAAAATGACAGCTTGTGTGTGAGACTCCTCGGGGTATCAAGGTGGGGGTGGAGAGGGTATTGTGGTGGGAAGAGAGCCAATTGAGAGATGTGAATGTGGGAGTCACCAGGGTGGTGATGGTATGGTGATGGAGCTTGCCAAGGGGATGTGTGTAGACCAAGCACATAGGTCTGAGCCCGGTGCTTCCAGAAATCAGGGAGATGAAGAAGCAGCAGCCTGGGAGGCAGGCAGAGGAACAGATGGGGTGGTATCCTGGAGGCCAAGGGAAGGATCTAAGGGTCAAATACTGGGGTTGCTGAATAAGGCAGCCATCCCTGCTGGCTGTAACTGAGCAATTTGTGGCATGGTGGAGAAAAACCTTGACCAGAGAGGCTCAAGGGAGATGAAGGAGCAGACATGGAAACCAAGAGTATAGACAACTTGGACAAAGTGGTAAAGGAGTGGGGCAAAACTTGGTAACAAAGGTGCTCAAGATAACTTTAATCCAAGATGTTAGAAATACCAGCATGTTTGGATGCTGGTGGGAATATCAAGTCAAAATTGAAATCAAAGGGCAGAGGAGAGGGAGGAACTGTTGCTGCTGGCCACCATTTGGGACTGGCCACTGAGAGGAAAGTACAGCCAGGCTTTGGAGAAGCCTCGACAACTATTGTCCTCAAATGTAGGTGGTGGCCACTGCAGGGAGTCGCAGGGATGGTAGAACTTGGAGAAGTGGGCAGTGGGGGAACTTATTTTGGGTTGAAGGAGAAAGCGCTGTGTTAAGGTCAGAATGTGGCCTGACTTCATTTAATCCTCACAGCAACTCCGTGTGGGAGGCACTGCTGTTATCCCCACTTCACAGATTAGGAAACTGAGGCTCAGAGAGGATGACACCTGCTTGAGGTCACACAGCCAGTCAGTAACAGAGATGAGACTTGAACTGGGATCTGACCAATACCAAACCTATTCCCACTACAATATGGCTTTCCCAGCACCCCAGCCATGGCAAGGCCTTGAGTGATTGTAGGTGGCATGGGTGTTTGGATTGGGTTTGGAGGAGGATCTGGCAGCCTAGCCCGTTGGAGAGGATAGAGGCTTCTGGGATGGGGTAGAGCAGATCCCCAAGCAGAGGCCAGAGCCTGGGGCAGGAAGGACAAAGGAGAGCCCTGAGGAGCTGTACAGGGACCAGACTTTGGGTATGGGGGCTGAGAATTGTTATCAGGCTGGATGGGGGACTGAGAGGGCGGGCAGTGGAGCTGAGGAGAGACCCTGGATTAGCTGTCAGGATATTTGTGGCAAGAGTGTGGCCCTGGCCACAGTGGGAGGTCAGTGTTCCAGGGCCTGGCTCTGTGATAATATTGATAATCCTAATGATCATTGATTGATCATTATGATCAGTCACCGTTGGCTGAGTGAATACTAATTGCCAGTGCTGCACCAAGCTTTTTATAATGCACATAACCTCATAACCTCTTGGGGAAGTTGCTGTTATGATCCATGCTACAGATAGGGAAACTGAGGCACAGAGAAGCAAGATCACTCACCCAGAGTCACAAAGCCTGCTACCGCGGGCTTAGAAGAACAAGGAAACAGCCAGGGTAAGGTGGGCAGACCCTGAAGCATGGTGGCAGGAAGGCATAGGGAAGCCCCTACCAGGTCTGAGAGAGATGATTCTAATGTACCTGCACTCAGTCTGTGCAGAGCCAGTGCTGGGCCATATCCAGGTGGCCTGAGTGGAGTCAGGAACCTGCCTGGCAGATCTGATGGCCATCCTGGTGTGGGAGGACATGAGGGCCCTGGTCTTTGAGCCTGGCCCTCCCCTGGGCTCCCTGTGGCCTGGCTTACTATGGGGCAGGAAATGGGGCTGTTGGGCTCAGGCAGGGTGGGGAAGTTCCCAGAGGCAGGTGTTTGAGGCTGAGTTGGCTGAAGGAGCAGGACTGCTGGAGAAGGGCAGCACCTTGTAGAGCAGGCAGTTAGGACCAGGGAGCAATGCCAGCCCTGCAGGCTGTGTCTGACAATTTCCCCGGGCTCTCAGCCAGCCTACAGGGCAGGCATTGTAAGACCCTGGGTGGGACAGATTCTTTTACTGTATAACAATGACCACAGACTTAGTGGGTTAAAACTACACAAATTGATTATCTCACTGTGGGTCAGGCATCTAGTACATTTTAGCTAAGTCAGGTCAGGGTCTCACAAGGCTGAAATCAGGCAACTGTGTCTTCATCTAGAGCAGAGTTGGGGAACCGTTTTTCTGCCAAGGGCCATTTGGGTATTTATAACACCAAGGGTCATACAAAATTATCAACTTAAAAATTAGCTGTGAAAAAAACTCCTAGATTTATTGAATTTTTAGTCCTACCTGCAGTAGCCTTGGCAGGGCCAGACCAAATGATTTGGCGGGCCATATAAGGCCCATGGGCTGGATGTTCCCCACCCCAATCTAGAGGCTCAACTTGGGAAAGATCTCCCAGAGTCCCTCATAGTGTTGACAGAATTCACGTGCTTGTGGTCGTAGGACTGAGGTCCCTGCAGTCTTGCTGTCTCTCCACGGGACCGTTCTCAGCTCCCAGAGGCCATTTGTTCCCAGGTCCTTGCCATGTAGCCCCTCATAGGCCTCCTCACAGTCTCAGCCTCTGGTTTCTGACTTCAGCAGGATCCTTATAAGAGCTAATTAGAACAGGCCCACGTCAGTAAGCTCCCTCTTGATTAATTCAGTCACCTAGTCAAGAGTATCCCTTCGTATTCACAAGCATGCCCCACTAGTGGGGAGAGGATTATACAGGGTGTGTATCCCAGAGGGTGGGATTTTGGAGCCATTGAGAGGTCAGAAAGAGGTACTTACTTTCTGTACCCCTTTCTGACCTCTCCACTCCCTGGCCACGGGACCCTGGGCTGGTGGCCTCAACTCTCTGAGCTTGTTTCCCACTCTGTGAGGTGGATTATGATATTAGACTGCCCACCAAGGGCTGTTGTCCATGTAGGAGAGAAACCAAATGAAGGGCCATAAGAACAGGCTCAGGGACCAGAAGCTAACATCTTGCCCCAGAGCAGGATGAAGGGTAGCCAGAGTTGCTATCGTTATCTCACCATCAGTCAGGCTCTGTGTCACTCCCCCCTGCCTCTCTCTGTTACAGGAAGCCTTGGGAGCAGGTCCCCAAAAAGCCAAAGAGGAAGAAAAGTAAGTGGGGCTGCAGCCAGTTGGGGGAGGGTTGGGTGTTGGGAGTTACTGGCTTTGTTGTTCTCCCCCTCCTTCCCTCGCTCCCTCATTCTCTGAGACCGATTGTGGAGAACCTGCATGTGCCAGGCACTGTGTGGAACAGGCCAGACTTAGCCCTACCCTCACGGAGTCCACAGTCTCCTGGGAAAGACAAGGGACAGGCTGAGCAGAGCTGTGATCAAAGTGGGAGGTGGGTTAGGGTACTGGGGCCCAGAGGAGGGGCCTGACCCAGCCCTGGGTAGGAACCCAAGGAACCTACGCTGTGCCCAGCAGGGGTGCCCTCATCATCCCCATCTTATGCGTAAAGATGTCCAGGGAGGCCTAGTCACTGCCCCAGGCTGCGCAGCTGCAAAGTATCAGGGCCAGACTGCAAACTCAGGTCCTTGTGTCTCCAAAGTAGTCCCCTTAGCTCCTCTGCTCTCCTGCCCGGTGTGTGGGAGTCAGCCAGGGAAGAGCCAGGCAGAGCAGAGGGAACAGCTTGTGCCAGGGCCTAACGGGTATATTGTGTGCCAGGCTCAAGGGGAGCTGGGCGTGGGCAGTCAGAGCAGAGGCCTGGAGCATGTCCCTCCTGCCCCTGAGCCCTGGGGCTGTGGGTCTCAAGCCATGTCCAGCAGGGTGAGAGCCAGCTGTCCAGGGACAGCCTGCTGGTGTCAGTGTGCCCCTCCCGTTCTCATAGGTCTCACAGGCAGGGACCAGGTGAGCTAAGACTGACCCCCAAATCCCAGAGGGGGGTGGGAATGAAGATAAGGAGGCAAGTGCTAGGCTAAGGAGGCAGGCGGCTTGCTGGTGGTGTCCCCACGGTCGTAATTGTGTTGGCGGCTCTGGGCACCATCCCTGGGCCCAAGGACCTTTCCTGGGCTCACTCCTCATCTCCTAGCCTGGAAGGTCAGAGGCACACCTTCTTCCTACTCTTGAGGGACCAGGATCATCACACACATCACTGGTACCGACTCTTAAGCACTCGCAGTATGTGCAGCCCTATTCTGTGCCCTGTCAATGTCTTTACTCTAACCTCCTCTCTGTCAACCTTCAGGAAATGGGGACCCTTATTCTCCCCTGACCACAGGGGGCAACAGGTTCAGAGAAGCCAAGTCACTTGCCCAGAGCCACCCAGCTAGGAAGTGGCAGAGCCAGGATTTGAACCCCGGTGGTCTGGCTCCACTGTTCCTACCCCCTCACAGTATGCACTCATCTAGCACCTACTGTATGTAGGTGCTGGATATATAGGAGGAACCACACAGATAAGTGGCCCTGCCCTTGGGGAGCTAACATCTAGTGTGGGAGACAGATAAGAAACATGAAAACATATAAGGATGGTATGTAGGTGCTACCTGGAGAAAAAGGACAGCAAGTCAGGTTGGCTGGAGAGACAAGGAGGAGAGGGTGGCTGACCAAGGGGAAGACCCGAGTGAAGGTGGAGGCGGCAGGGCAGTCACCTGGAGGACACAGCCAAATGCCCAGGCCTGAGGCTGGACTGTCCCTGGCTCAGCTGAGGACCTGGGAGGAGCCGTGAGGCTGCAGTGGAGGGAGCAAAGGGAAGGGTGGGAGGAGGTGAGGACACAGGCTACAGGGCAGAATATGTAAACCTCTGGGAGGACTGTGACTTTTCCACCCAATGAGGTGGGAGCTATGGAGGATTCTGAGCAGAGGAGGGATGTGACCTGACTCAGGTGTTCACAGGCGTCCACTGACAGCTGTGAAAGGAATAGACTGTAGTGAGCCAGGGTGAGCGTAGGGCAGGGCTTCTAATTGATCATAACAATTAGAAGCAGCTAACAATGATTGTGCACCTACTATGGCCACGCCCCACTGTTTATATGACTTATTCATCCAGTGAGCACAGTCTCTGGCCAGTCTCTGTTATCTCCAGGGTGTGTGTCATCTCTCTGAGCCTCAATTTCTTTACCTATAAATTGGGGACAGGCCTGGACAGGGTTCAGGATAGTGTCTCAACCACCAAGAGCCAGAAGGCCCTGGTAGTTCTAGGGGCCACTCTGTCCTGGGTGGCTTAGCCATGCTCCTCATGCCTGCCCTGGCCCTGTTTGCACAGGGCGTCGACGCAACGTGAACTGCCTAAAGAATGTCGTGATTTGGTACGAGGACCATAAGCACCGCTGTCCGTATGAGCCACACCTGGCCGAGCTGGACCCCACCTTTGGCTTATACACCACAGCCGTGTGGCAGTGTGAAGCTGGCCACCGCTACTTTCAAGACCTGCACTCACCCCTGAAGCCACTCAGCGACTCAGACCCCGACAGTGACAAAGGTGGGTCTGCAGAGTGAGGGCATATAGTGGCCTCCAGTGTCTGGGGGTCTCTTGCTCCTCGTGGGGAGAGTCACCCTGTACTACCCGCCCTCCTGGGTCTTGCTAGCCTTAGGCCAGCATCACAAACATCTCACAACTAGATGCCACTGGTGCTGGCTTCAGGGACAGAGTGCAGACTCATTGGGCCAGGCTGCGATCTTTGAGTCCTTACAAATCCTGAGACAAAGTTCCCGTTTTACAGAGAGACAGCTGAAGCTCAGGGCAGTTTGCCCACCTGTGCCCAAGGCCAGTCACAGGCAGGGCTGGACTTGGGATCCAGGAAACCTGGTTCAGTAGCTGGAGGGAGGGAAGGGTGCTCTGCCTCAGACTCCCCAGGGTGGCTCTTCTCTCCTGGCCTCTTCCTGTTTTCTCCAGCCCTTTCTCGGGCTCAAGGTCTGTCTCATCCTTCTTCCGTCTCTCCATCCTGCTCTCCTCACTTCCTGTTCTTTGCTCTCTGTCTCTCTCATCCTTTCTGTTTCATCCTTTCTCTCTTCCTCTATCATCTGTCTCCTTTTCCCTTCCTCCCACCACTCTCTCTCTCTGTCTCTCTTCCATCTCACACCCTTTCTGTCTCTCATTCTCTATCCCTCTGTCACCCCGCCCTTCGCATCTCTCACCATCCCTGCTCTTCTCCTCCCACTTTGGTCACACCCAGAGGCTGGCTGCCAGCTCAGGACTGGGAGGGACTCAGTTACAAATGTCCAGTGAAACCTGGTGGAGGACTGAGGATATGCTCTGGGTGGTGAGGGGCTGCCTGCTTGCTTCAGAGGCTTGGCATGAGCTGTGAGGAGTGTGGGGCCCACTGCCAGGTGCCCTGCCAGGGCTGAGGATGGGGTCAGTCACTGGGGCTGAGTGCGAGCTGGCAGGCATCTTAGAGCAGATGGCGTCCCAGCTGGCGAGGGGAAGCCGTGGGCGAGAGGTGTTCCAGGTGGGCACCCTGGCCAGCGGCCATCCCGTTGTGTGTCAGTCAGGTCCCCAGTGTGAATCTGCCCCTCAGCCATCTTGTCCTGTACTCCACTCCAGGCCCACCACAAACCACCCTGAATCCTCCCCATAGTCCTGTCATTAGCCCCACTGAGCAGTCCAGGAAACTAAGGTTTTGGGAGTAACATGACTGGCCCATCTGGGGATGGACCCAGCTGGGTTGGGGGTGACATCCAGAGGAACCCCCTTGCACCCCAACCTAACTTTTTCATTAGCAGCTTCTGGATCTGGGCTCTTGGGAATGAACACTAGGATCAATTCCATGTCTGCTGTGGCTTCTGGGGCCATTGAGAGAGTGCTGTACCCCCGGGCCAGCCCTGTTCCCTCAAGCAGCACTCTTATCTGCTCTGTGCCTGGGGCAGCCCTGCCACCTCTCACTCAATAAGAAGACACCCCCCCTCCAGGGACTGTGGGAAGCCAGGGGTACATGGTCATTTCTGTTGTGAGTGTTATCATCTTGAGTAAAATCCAGTGTCAGCCTTAGCAGCCAGACACTGCACTCAGACGTAAACCCAGCTATACTCCCAACTTTTTAGGTGATTGCCCCCTCCTTCAGGGTGCAGCCAGAGCTCGTCCCACTCTGCAGATCATAGGGTATTGGGAGGAGGGGCTAATCCCCCTACTGCACTTGTTGCCACCCTAGGGCCTGCCTCACAGATGGGGCAACTGGACATTAAAGATAGTAGGAAACATTGATAGGGTTGTTACTCCAGGCCTGGTACTGTCCTAAGTTCTTTACACATATTTACTCATTAAATACCCAGAGTGCTCCCTGAGGTAGGTACCAAGATATCCCCAGGCACAGATGGATTACATAAGGCACCTATGTTCACACACAGCTAGAAGAACAAGCACTGGGATCCCCACCCACCCCACCCCGCTGCAGTCTGGCTTCAGAGCCTGCACTCTCCATGTGACCCTCTGGGGGTGTAGGACATGTGGTTCCCAAACAGTGTGCACCAACTGTGTCAGGAGTGTGTAACTTAAGGGGCAGTCATACATTTTTCCTGTTCCCAGTTTCTCCCTGTGTGGGGACCTTAGCACCAAAAGCCTGGGTAAGATGTCAGCCCCCTTGGCCTTCATCACAGCCTTGGTCTGCGAGTTGTTCATTTTTGCAAATGTGTACTCACTGTGTATCATGTAGCCTTCCGGGCACTGGGGACTGTGCACAGGGACCCCCTGTCCCTGTGGGGTTTACTGTCTAAAGGGGAAGCAGACTGTAAACAAGATAGACAAGTAAAATGCAGAGCACACTAGAAGGTGGGAAGTATTTGGGGGAGAAATAAAGGAGAGAAAGGGGTACTATTTGAGACAAGATGGTGAGAGACCTCCCTGAAAAAGTACCATTGATGAAGGGTTTGATGAAGGTAAGGGAGGAAGCCCACACAGGTGTCTGAGAGAAGAGGATTCAGGCAGGGCAAGTGACAAGTACAAAGGCCCTGAGGCAGGAAGCTATCTGGTGTCTAAGCACGGGAGGGAGGTCACTGGGGCAGGAGAGAATGTGCAGGCTGTGTGGCTACAGTGAGAGCTTTGGCTGTTATACCAAGTGAATTGGGAAGAGTATTAACTGAAGTAAGGCCAGCTGCTGAAATAGACACACCTGCAAATTGCCTTCCATCCCAGGACCCAGGTTCTTTCTGTCCTGAAACTCCAGCCTCCTCTGAGTCCTCGCAGGCTGGTGGGAACAGAGGGGGAAGTTTATGGCTGGGAGCTCACTACCACTCACATTTCATTGGACTCAGCCTTATGGCCACACCTACCTACAAGGGATGCTAGGAAATGTAGTCCACTTGGGTGCCAGGAGGAAGAGACTCAGGTTTGGTGAGCAGCTGGCCTGTCTGTTTGACAGAAAATGATGAGCAGGTTCTCAAAGAGGGATGTGACCTAAGCAGGTGTTCACAGACTCCCTGTGGCCACTATAGGGAGTCTGTGGAGGGTGAGGGTGAGGATGAGAGCTGGGGAACCAGGGAGAAGGGACTGCATGGTCCAGGCAGGGGAATGGCGAGGCCATGACCAGGCGTGCGCAGAGGAGGTGAGAGAAATTGTCAGCCTTTGGATGTATTTTGGATGCAGTGCCAATGGGTTTTGCTGATAGATTGGAAGTAGGTGTGAGAGAGGGAGAAGTCAAGGATAGCCCTAGGACTTGGCCTGAGCAACTAAGAGAAGATAGCTGCCATCACTGGGACAGGGACATCTATGAATGCTGCAGGCTTTTTCTGAGAAGGCTCCAGAGCCCAGAGTTGCTGAGAGAAGTGTGAGATGCCTGTGAGAACCCCTTGCTGGC